GCCCTCAAGAAGAAGAGAGGTACAAGTGTAGCGGATTGGATACACGATTTCTACCCGAGACATCCTTTCATCAAGAGGTTTATAACAAACAATGAAACGAAATTCGTAAACTAAAAAATGTAGGGAATGCTTAAGAGGCTTTGGGTACCTATCAAGCTCATCGGGCCATATCACCCTGAGGTTAATGCACCCGTGGAAAAGGGGCACCGAACGTTAAAAAACACAATTGCAAAGCTCGCGACGAACGATCTTGTGAGCTGGCCTAGATACCTTAAGCAAGCTGTCTTTTCAAAGAACATAACTAAGAGGACAACGGATGTATCCCGATGGAACTCTGGTACGGAAGAGAGATCAATTTCCTCGTGGAAGCCTTCATACCTACGTGGAACAGGTTAGATAACAATCCGCACATAACCACGAAAGAGCTAATTGAAACACGATGTCAACACGTCCTTAAAAACGAGGAAGTCATGGAAGACATTGTCAATCGGGTATTGGATAGCAGGATGAGGGATAAGGCAAGGTGGGACCAGGTCAAGAATATCCGGAAAGAGTCACTTCAGATGACGATGTCAACACGTCCTTAAAAACGAGGAAGTCATGGAAGACATTGTCAATCGGGTATTGGATAGCAGGATGAGGGATAAGGCAAGGTGGGACCAGGTCAAGAATATCCGGAAAGAGTCACTTCAGATGACGATGTCAACACGTCCTTAAAAATGAGGAAGTCATGGAAGACATTGTCAATCGGGTATTGGATAGCAGGATGAGGGATAAGGCAAGGTGGGACCAGGTCAAAAATATCCAAAAAGAGTCACTTCAGGTGGGGGAAATGATACTGGTTAGAAACTCGACACTAGAAAGCACATGGTCTGGGTAAATGGGGAGGAGGTTCAAAGGCCCCTACCGAGTCACTAAGCGTGTGGGACTAAACACCTTCGAATTGGAAGATCTGGATGGAACTGGATTGAAAGGACCCTTCCCAAAGCAACAACTGGTCAGGTTTCTAGGTCGGAACCCAAGACTTCGGGAGGGCCAGGATAAGGAAACTGAGGAGCCTACACTGAGAGTTGGTGGCAGCCTTTCCACACTATGTTTTATCTCTGACTATGTCTGTGGGGCTTTCTTTTTTTCGGAGGGGGCGATGTCTTGGGGGCTGGATGAAAATGGGAAGCGGGATGCCTTGGGACCTTTGTGCCATTGGTTTTGTATGTGTATGGGGATGGGTGGTATTAGGAAAGGTTGCCTGAAGCGTAGTACCATAGTTTTCGTGGGGATATGATGGGGTCATTGCAACTGAGGCATATGTATGGAGGAGCGATGTATAATATGGCTTTGTACAAGGAATACGGGGAGCACGTTGGGGGAAAAGGTATCTTCTACCAAACTTGGGGAATGTGTGTATGGGGGGCTCGACGGTGTTGTTTTGTTATACAGGATCAAGGAAGAAGCCTTAAAAAACCGAGAATGGAATTCGGCAACAAGAACGACAACAATGTGATCAACTGGCCCAGCGAGTGGGAAGGAGCGGCACCAAGTGGGGAGCGGAGGACTATAAAAAGAAAATTGTATGTAGGGTACATGTCCAAACAAGTAGTGGGCAGAGGAACGAGAAAACGTGTGTAGAGAGCCTTCGCCTCTCAAAAAGGGAAAGGGAATATATATCTCATCAGGGAGTGAGAGCGAGGAAGAAAGATCGCGTATGGGAAAAAAGGGCAGATCGGGAGAAGAAAGGGCTCAATTTTTTGCCAAGAAGGGGGTCGAGGGGTGCGAACAGCATGAGCCTTGGTGCGGGGAAAACGAAGGAAGGCAAGATCTGAACGACAGGTGTGAAAAAAGGGAAGAAGAAAGAGAGAGTCCACATGACAAACGAAGCGGCCACAGCAGTTGTGAGGGAGGGTACACGGACTTTGGGGAAGGGTATGAAAGAATCTTCTGATGCCAGAATGTGAATTAAGTCCGCTGAAAGATGTACGGGTGTGCTTCTTTATGAAATCCTTCAGCCAAAAAAAGCTCAAATCCGGTTTTCGGAACACAGTGCGAAAGGCCCTGAGGGAACATCCACCGAAGACAATTAGCAAGCGCTAATAGGGGCCAATCCACAGGAAAGGAAAGAGCTACTGGGTCCAAAAGGCATTGACCCCCCAGGCACATGGTACATGGCAGCACAAGGGGAAGAACCAGCGGTGGAGTGGAAGGTGGTAGAGATTGAGCCGACCGGATTAAGGCAATTGAGAGATGGAAAGCAGCAGAACGCACGAACACACTACAAAGATTAGGAGAAGAAACAATCGCGCTATCGAGTAATCCTCCTCAGATTCGAGTGGTGGCGTCCACAGGAAAGACAACAAGAACCAGAATCTTGACATGGGTGGGCAAAGTTCCTTTGAGAGAGTTGTGTAGATCCCCTGGCCTGGTCCAGGAATAGATCATCGTGGATGTAAGGAATTTTGACTACTCACTGAAAACAGGGTACGTGCTCGCAGGAAGACAAAAAAATCTCCAGCGTTCATAGCCACATGCAGATGGCAAGCTCTGCTGGGAGAAGAGTTCCAGAACACTGGAGAACAGTTCAACTGACTCTGGAGAACACTTTAACTGACTCTGACTCTGAGAAAACTCCTTCCCAACGGAAAGCAGGTACGCATCCTCTGGTTGCTCTCCCTGCTGGTGACGCCATCAGCAGTTTGGTTACTTAGCAGGGGAACGCAAGTCGGCCTTCACTGCATACGTTGCAACTGGTCATTTGAATCCACCCCTTACCTCTGGTGTAAGTGTCCCATCTCCAAACATATTTGGAAATCGTGGGAATAGGACTGGAGGAAAATGGGAGGTGAAGGTCTGGATAGGGAGGAAAGTTGGCTGTTGCTGGGTCTTCTTACACCGGGTGCTCTCGAGTGAAAGGGGGATGGGGGTATATTGCGCACATAATCAGAGCAAGGTGATCTGGGAAGACCGAAACAGGGCAAGATTTCATAAAAACTGATGTCGGATGTGGAGATGAAAGAAAAAAATTGATCAAGGACTGAAACGATCAATTCGCATGGAGTGGAGCAGGAAAGTGCATTTTGGGCTGGGCAGCAGAAAACAGCTGAAATGGTGTGTACATGGACACGCAGGAATCAACTGGCTGATGTTCACTCCAACAGGGGCCTAGTTATTTCTCAGTGGGTGTTGGAATCGCACAGAAAGGGGAGCTAGGAAGGTAAGGAATAGTACTTGTAGAATAGTAAGGTAAGTCGGTTGGAGATTATCAGCATAGCCATGACACTCGGTTGCATTAGGGCCGCAAATAAAGCTGGAGATTGTCACCCCCACTGGGCTGAGCTAGTCCCAGAGGTCAGATTTGACCCACTAGAAGTAGGTAGTATCGTAGTTTGGTAGTTAAGAAGCAGTATTTTGTCTAGGACATTGACTACAATTCCTTGATTAAGCAGGGAAGTTATGTTCCGACAGGTAATATATTGTTTTAAAATTAAAGCAGTTAGGTGGCAGAATTTTGGTCCAAGTGGGGGCCCGTAAGCAAAACTGAGTCATGCTCTCAGTATCCGGGTGGAGTTCTGAGGTCCCCGGCCTCAGTTTCGTTTTATAATTTGTTTGAAAAAAAAGAAAAAGAAGGGGGGGGGGGAAGGTGCTTAGTTAATTTTTTGCATGACTTTATGTTTTCACTGTTTTTTTGGATTTTTTATTTCTTTTGCTGGGATTTTCCCTAGCGCTTGCCCAGCCGAGCCCGAGAAACCAAGATGACCAAGGCGGCCCGGTTGGTAGCCCAGTTTAATTCTCTTTTTTTTTTTTTTTGCCCGGCCTAGCATATGGTCACTGGAACACATTTGAATAAAGGGAGCCGGAAAGCAAACATTCAAAAAGGGATAGCGACAACTTCAGTTCAAAGGACGGCAGTCGCAGCAAGATCCAAAAATCCTCGAAACTACGGAATCCCCTGGTCAGGGGGTGTTGCAAATCAAGTAGTGGGATTGCTGGAACCAAAGACAATTGCTTGGAAGACACTCAAGAGGATCTAAAGGGCCGAGCCGGCCTTATTCAGTTGCTGTATTAAAAAAGACAAAACTGTCCCCCGCTCTCATGACCCTCAGGAGGAATGACGAGGACAGCGTGGTCACACTAGCGCTCAGTTTACAACTTCACATCTTTTGGGAGTGCGGTCAGGTACATCCAGGACAAAAAGGAGACAAATGTGGGAGAGAATTCTATCGTGTTTTTTTTTCACGTTTTTCCTTCAAATTTCATTCGTATCACTGACAAAGCGCCCCCCCTAATTCACGGCCCTTTAGGAGTAACAGTGAGAGCGTACTCCCACAAGCACCTCGTCTGCAGCTCTCTAGACTAGAATGCGGTCAAATACATCCAGGACAAAAAGGAAACAAACGTGGCAGGCTTCCAGCGTTTTTATTCCCAAGAAAACACCCCCCCCATATTCATGGCCCTTTGGAAGGAGCCAGACTGAGAGGTTACTCCCACTAGCACTAACAAAAGAAACGAACGCAGAAGGATTCTATCGTGGAGGGTTTTACGCCCACCCTTCAATCCCACAGATCAGGCCTGGCATTTTACACATAGGGCCTGGCATTTTATACATAGGGCCTGGCATTTTATACATAGGCTCGTTAAATTAACTTCGGAGCAGTGGTGCTTTAACCATCAGTCAGTTGGTACCTCAAGATCTGTGTATGGGTTTATTAAACCCAAGCTGCAACCATCAAGCAGCTGGCAGCTCACCATCCCCACCTGGCTTCGAACCCTGTCTTCACTAATCTAGACATACATGTGTGAGTCGGGGCAGAGAGGCATGCGTGTGTATGGGTGGGTGGGTGGTGGGGCCCCCTTCCTGGTTAAACTTGCATCTCGCCACAAAATTGACACAAAAACAAAACGCATCGACACAAATCCGCATGTGTGAAAGACCACTACAGGCTGTGCACAAAAAGAAAAATCCGGTTTCCCCTTTTTGAAACTTCTCCCCGCAAACCTGGCACTCTCGGACTCGTTATCACAGAGTCCGCATTCCTGCACGCTTTTTTGCATCTACAGCTTCTAGCGATCTACCCGTCCACCATTCACACCAACACAAATCTCAACCGCCCTTTCCACCATCCGACAATGGAAAAAGGGCTGACCACCAGGGTCAGGCCCCACCACTGACAAGAAATACTAGTTTGTAGTATATATTCACGTATACGACATATCATCACGGGAAACTGCCTGGTGAGGCGTGGAGAGGGGGAAGAGGACAACAAACGTGGGGCTGTGACAGACTTTCAGGGAGTTTTACCATCTCATCAGGGCGCTGTAAAGATCAATATCATCCTCCCTCTTCTTGGAAATAAAGGTGCACACAAAAATGCCGCTGGAGTTTCCAGATAACAAAAGCAAAACATCAGCCAACACAATGCACAATGCATCACAATGTGACAAACCACCAACCTCTCCGTCAAAACCCGAACTTGAACCCCCCTGTTTGACTGTTGACATCAGCAACACTATCCCAAAAGCTCCGCATCTTTGATGCCTTCGCAGCTTTCTGCCTCGCTTTTTCCTCAAGGTGCGCAATTACTCCGGGATGGAATTCTTCAAACTTGGACCGAAATTCATCATGCAAACTCTCCCGCCGATCTGTCCCAGAGACAACCACCTTCGCATTTGGGCTCCTTAAGAAATCCAACACTTGGAGAAGGTTTTGCCTGTGTACACATGGACACGCAAGTACCCACGTGGACGTCACAATCGCAATAACTTCCATGAAGCACGAAATAGACATGAACAAGCATGCAGGCATTCGGTAATACCATTGTCAATAAATAATACGCACATAAAATTACAAAGAATAGTCCGCCCTGTGACCATTGACAAGAAGGGGCAACCAGACAAAAAGAACAGGAAGTCGTAAAGATGCAATGTTCCTCAAGAGTCCCAGCGGCTCAGAAGGACTCAAAACCCTCACAGTCTGGGGAGAAACTCCCCCACCACCTGCACATGCCAACCGGACTGTGAGATATGTTTGCTGGGTGTTCCTGAGTGGCCTGAGCGGGATATCCAGGTTGGATGGTGCTACGTGGGTTGAGTGCCATATGAGGGCTAAATGGTACAACGCCAGTTTACATGGTACTGCCCAAAATAAAAAAACACTGAACTAAGTGCTACTGCTGGAAGAAAAAGCAGCCCTTCGCTATGAGGCCTGTGTACCTGTCTCATAGGCCCACTTTCTGTTCAGCAAAACCTCGTGAATCACATGCAGAAGTCCCCTATGGCACTCAGAACACGAAAACTTGACACAAAGGCACAACCGAGCTAGGCACCAAAAAACAGAAAAGCGACCTGGCACAAAAGCTGAACAAATTGGCACAGAATGACAAACAACCTTGGCAACGAAAAGAAAAAAGGAACTCACACAAAACGACAAACGAGCTTGGCACAAACAACAAAAAAACAAAACAGGACAGACCTGACAAATCATGTGCCGTCCTCACAAAGGCAAACATGGCACACACGTCTAACAAACTTGGCACAAAAACATGAACGACCTGGCACAGAGGATGGACAATTGGGTCAAAATGACAAACGAGCTCGGGAAGGGGGAAGGAAAGGAACTTGACACAAGAAGACAAAATCGAAACAGGAGAAGCCAAAAACAAAACAGGACAGACCTGACAAATCATGTGCCGTCCTCACAAAGGCAAACATGGCACACACGTCTAACAAACTTGGCACAAAAACATAAACGACCTGGCACAGAGGATGGACAATTGGGCACAAAATGACAAACGAGCTCGGGAAGGGGGAAGGAAAGGAACTTGGCACAAGAAGACAAAATCGAAACAGGAGAAGCCTGACAAAGTTGTGTGCCCTTTTACAAAGACAAAAAATAAAAATAAAAATATTGACCCAAGTAAAGACAACGAAACCTCAATCATGCACATTCCCCAATGAATTAAGTCACATGCACTGAAAACCAACGAACCCAGAAAAAGAAAAAAATACACACATACCAATCATGCACATTCCACGATGAATCAGACAACTTGCATTCCATGATGAATCAGATCACGTGCATTCCACACTATCACATCATGTGCATTCCATGATGAACAGGATCACCCACATTCCATTACGAATCAAATCACAACCATTCCACACTGAATCTCTAACATCAGCGAGCATTCACAACAGCCAGAAAAGGGGGGGGGGGGGGGAACAAAAAAAAACAGGTGGGCAAAATGCTCAGCGCGCCACACTCAGGCCCAGGCTGTGCCCAACACAGTCTCACTGTGTCACTCACTAGAGCAGCTATTCACTTTAAGGGATAGACAGACAGAACAAAACGGAGAGAAACAGAAACGGATAGAGGGAGACTTGGATGAGATAGATTGCACTAGACTAGATTAGATTACATTAAGATTAAATTAGAATAAAAAACAGAGCATCGGAGGACAAAGTTGCAGTAATTTTGCGCTAATTTAGCGCACCATAGCAACGCTAACAGGCACGCGGGATTTTATCGTGGCGTTTCGCCGCACGGGTTTTCTTTCTCGTTTTTTCCTTCTATCGTCGCTAAGCCGTGTTGACCGTTAGGGTTACGTCAAGCGCTGGTGTTGACGGCCATGGTCGGCCATGGCTGCGGCCGCGCCTCATCGAGGGGATGACTGAGACCTCCCACGAAAGGGAAGAGGGCGTGGACCGTCGTGCATGCAATTGACGTGACAAGCACGATGAGGCTTGGGCGGGGAATAAGACGGGTGTGGTGGCCCGAGGAATCGATAAGGTAAGTGAGGCGGTAAGGCGATGGGCATAAGCGTGACCAGCTCACGTGCGACAGCCGGCACGACGACCACGTCAACGGGGGAATATGGAGGGTGAGGGGGTAGGGGGGTAGTTTTTAAAAGGTAATGACAGTGGGATGAGAGGGGGAGGGCAAGCCAAACCTAGGGGGGCATCAACGGCCGGGGATTCCACACGGGTGGAGAAGTGAGCAATAGTCGTAGCTCCTCCCGATGTGCCAAGAGTCGGGAAGAAAGGTGATTCGGCAAGCACAAACGGGCGCAATGGATGGAGGAAGTCTGGACACTGGGCAGGGGCCCGGGCCGAGGGGAGATCGACACAGAAGAGGATACGATAGTTTCGTACTTGGCACCTGCAGTTGAACTGAGAGATTGGCTGATTAATGATAGGCATACGGAAGAGATTCCAAGTGGCGGGGCGTCGAGCCTAAGTGAGACTGCTCCCATGGCAGTTGCCACCGGTGGCCATGGGTCAAAGTCTACAAGCCATCCCCCCTGGCTGCAAAACGGATGCACAGAGCACTGGAATTTTTATACGGCCCAATAACTGAAGAGCAAGTGTTCGAGGAAGATCCGGAATATGTGAGGTATGTGATCGACGGACCATTGAATAACCCATTGAACAGTACGGTGGCGGTGCCGACTGGGCTGTACAGCTTCAAGAAGGTGACGGTGATCATAAGTGAGTCCCTCTTTTGGGAGGTCTGCTTCACGCATGGACACCTGGGTTTGCATGGCTGCAGTCACTCCAAGAGATCCAGGCCAGGGAGACGAGGAGCGTGATGGATCCAGTGCTGCAGTCAGAACCTGATCTGGAAAGAATGGCCTGGAGAGAGCTCGAGGTTCAAACGGACGGGGCAATACACTAAAAAGTTAACACATGGGCACGGAATCAGGGGGATAACATCGGGGTAGGAGGGACGGACCAGCAGCCTAAGTGGAAGGCGCGACGGGGGGAGGGGGGGGGGGGGCATCGGCGAAACGTCCGGGCAAACCAGGTTCCCCGGATCAGCAGCACCCTGCTGGTGCTCGTTACCATTCCCATCCGGAGGTGCTCGTCGGGGGGCCGACGTTGAGCGGTTCGGGCACCGGGTGCTCGGGCTTTTGATCCGCTGAGAGGAGGCGGAGACCGCCGAGCGGGAGGACGGCGCCGACGAGCGCGACGGGAAGGGGGGGGGGGGGGGGGGGGGGGGGGGGCATCGGCGAAACGTCCCCTGGGAAGGGACAGCCGAAGACCCCATGGAGACGGATGAGCCATATTGGCTGTTCGGAGGAGAACGTAAAAGGAACGCGGAACAGCCCTCCGGGGGGAAAAGGGAAACGAAGGTGGCAGGGACAGATCATGCCACCAAAGGAGAGGTAGGACAGTGGGGGGGGGAGGAGGGGTCAGATGAAGACGGATAATGGGGAGGAGGGTGAAACTCTAGGTCAAGTGATGGGACAGAGGGGAGATGCTGACAGGAAAGGGACAGATCATGCCGCCAAAGGAGAGGTAGAGGGGGGGGGAAGGGTCCGCATGAGAAAGATGAAGGGGAGGAGAGTGAAACACTAGGGAAGCTATGGGACAGAGGGGCGATGCTGACAAAGGATGGAGACGGAGGAGGGAGTAGCAGCTGCCGGGGAGGAGGATGGGACCAAATGACAAGGAAGGAGGTGCACAAAAACAGAATGGGAGGGATACGATCCAAGGCCAGGCGTGCAACACAAAGGAAGGTAAAACGGTGAACCTGGGAAGTAGCCTGAGTGCAAAAATGAAGACCGAGGATGAGAATCAGGGAGCGGGGGGATGGAAACCAGAGGCCGGAGAATTGCCTGACAAAGGTAAGCATGTGCAGCAGGAAAACTTTTTGATGGACGAAGATCGGTTGAGGAGAGACTGAACAACTGGCCAAAGGAAGGGGAAGAACTGGGAGGGGAAGGGGAAGAAGTGGGAAAACGGCGTACAGCAATGGAGGGAAGGGGGGGTGAGGGGGAGATGGAAAGGAAGGATAGAACGGACGACTCCGTCACGGTGGGGGCACAAGGAAGATCGGGCTACAAAGCACCACTCATGATAGAACGGGACAAAGGGGAGCGGCAGCTGATCACATACAGCGTAGAATCAAATAGGTGACACTGCGACCGCCCAAGAGCTCCTCAGCGGAGTGCATTCCAGTCCCTACTTTCTCCTCCACTTGGTCGGAGTCAACACGCAAAAAGCATGCCTGCCAACAGGAACCAAAACAGCAGACGAGCCAGGGAAGGGACCAATCTCCAATGGGAACAGTGGGTTATGAGCCGAAGTACCGGTTGGGTGGGAAGGGTCGGAGGGACATCTCACCGTCGCCCTCGCCCTCCCCCATCCTGAGGGACACGAGCGGAATGTCAGTGGAGGGGATCACAAAGACCGCAACTGATCAGGAGGATGGCGACTCTCCGGCCACAATGGAAACGGAAGACGGCAAATCTTCGGCTACAATTGAAAATCTGGAGTAAAGGTATGGAGGATCGAACGAAGGAGGAAGAACAAGAGGGAGAGGAGGACGATGAGCAAGAGGGGAAGGGGGATTACAAGGGAATTATGGGACGGACAAGAGGAACAAGTAGCACATCAGGACCCGTCAGCGGACAGTCAAGCACCACTAGATACTGAAGCCATTACAGGAGAGGGTCTGGGACGAGAAAGGGCAGCCCAGAAGGAGCAGAACCCGTTGACGGAGTTGGCGAGGCAGGAGCAATCGGATACTGGCCTGGAGAACATCCTGCGTGAGGGGGAATGTTACGTCTGCCCCATAACCTATTGGAGGAAAATGAGCAAGATTAAGCTGCTGATGGACGGCCCTAATGAGGTGTTGATCTTCAATGCGAACAAGCTGCCGCAAGAACAAGAGGTCTTGAGGCATGTGGCCGAATGGGCGGGGGTGAAA